GATGTGCGGGCCCCATAGGGCGGGGTCTTGGGCCTGAAACTTCCTCGCAGCTCACTCACAGACGAGGCCCCCGCTCGAAACATCTTCAACTGCCACGACGCCTGGCAAAACATTCCGTTGACACGCTCGAACTACCAACATGAAACGCGGACCCCATAGCGAGGGGGCTGGCGCCTGAGACTTCCTCGCAATTCACGCATTTTTGGGAAGCTCAAATGCTGAGCCTGGCAAAATTGTCGGATGACCCGCTCGAATTACGAGCATGCAAAGCGGACCCATGGGGAGGGGGGTCCCGCTCGAGACTCCCGTCAAGGTGAATATGTAAGTGTGAGTGTGTATGGCACTGATGAGTGAAGATGACGACGAGTGGTGATGATGAGTGAGTGTGTGAGTGTGCGTGAGAGTGAGAGTGAATGGGTGGGCGTGCTCCTGTGCGGGGTGCCCAGAGAGACCAACCAGGAGCCCCACTTGGGATGCGGGGTTTCCGCCGACCCCTGCGCGGGGGATGAGAGGGCGCGTGAAACATTTTGGCTGTCCCCCTCCCCTCTTCCCCCTCCTCTGGGGTCCAAAATGCCATTCTAGGGGGGGGGGTACGAGCTCGCCAGCGCCCCCCTGGGGCCTCCGGAGCCCCCAAAAAGCCCCTGGACAGCCCCAAAACGGCCCAGACGGAGCGCCACGACAGTCGAAGAGGGCGTCATGATGGCCCAGGGGGGTAGCCCCACGACGATCCAAGATGGCGTCAAGATGGCCCAAGAGGCCCCCAAGACAGCCGATGCCCCCAGGAGGCCCCCAAAAGCGCCTCCAGAGAATCGCCGAGTGCCCCAAGAGGCCAAGATAATCCCATTCCCTGAGAAAAACGTACATGTTCAGCACATGTGCAATTTACATATTATCAGCGAACATGACGGCCCAAGTGGCCCCCAAGATCGTCCCAAGACGGCCCATGATGCCTTCAAGAAGGCCCCAAGATGGCCCAAGAGGCCCAAAGACAGCCCCAGGGGCTCCCCAAGACGGTCCAAGACAGCCCCTGGAGGGCCCCAAGAGGACCCCAAGGGAGTCCAAGAGGGGGAGTACGAACTGATATTTCAAGCCTTTCCCACCAAGATGGCCACTGGCCCCCCTGGCCCCCGAGGTCCCTCCAAGAGGCCCAACAGGCCTCCAAGACGCCCTCAAGGAGCCCCCCGAGGCGCCCACGAGGCCCCCACGATGCCCCAAAAAGCCTCCCAGATGCCGCGCGAGTTCTCCAAGAGGCCCCAGAGAGGCAGCCCAATAGCCCCTCACATTCATCCAGGAGGCTCCTGGCCCAAGATATAACCTCCACAATCGTCTCAAGCACTCAATCCTTGTGGGATAGAGAGAGATGTATCTTTAAAAATGCATCTCAGACTGCTGTGGACGATCGATGTCGAGAGGGAGGCAACGGCCACAGGCGCGACCGAAACGAGATCGCCAGCGACAACACCTCGCACCGGACGGCGCTCGGCCAGCCGCCCCCGACCGCGGCCGGAGCCTCGCACACCAGCCAGGCCCAGGCAGCGTCCCCCGGCGCGGCTGCCGGGCCGCCGGCCTGGGCGCCGCCGCGCGCCGGCGAGGAGCTGCGGAGGGCGAAGAGGAGAGAGGGCGCGAGAGAGACACAGAGAAAGAGAGAGAGAGAGAGAAAGAAAGAAAGAAAAACAACAAACAAAAAGTGAAAGAAACGAGGGGGGTGTCCCCGGGGAGGGGGGGTCAGATTCGCATCCCCCCCCTCCTCCTCCTCCTCCTCCTCCTCCTCCTCCTCCTCCTCTCCTCCTCCTCCTCCTCCTCCTCCTCCTCCTCCTCCTCCTCCTCCTCCTCCTCCTCTCCTCCTCCTCCTCTCCTCCTCCTCCTCCTCCTCCTCCTCCTCCTCCTCCTCCTCCTCCTCCTCCTCCTCCTCCTCCTCCTCCTCCTCCTCCTCCTCCTCCTCCTCCTCCTCCTCCTCCTCCTCCTCCTCCTCCTCCTCCTCCTCCTCCTGCCTCCTCCTCCTCCTCCTCCTCCTCCTCCTCCTCCTCCTCCTCCTCCTCCTCCTCCTCCCCCCCCGCTCTGTGTCTGCACCTGTTCCGCCTCAGCTGTGTCGTCTTCCCCCTCCTCCCGCGGCGCCTTCCCCATCATCTTCTTCGCCGAGGTCAACGTCGTCGTCTCCAGGGTCGGCGGCACCGGCCGCGAGGCCTTCCCAATAGAAGAAACCAAACTGCTTGGTCTGCGGCGTCGTGGACCCCAGTTGCGACCGAGCGTAAACAGGGCTGCTGCTGAGAGAAGTGGGCACAGAGGCGGAGGGAAGAGAAGGCACAGAACAGACAAGGCGAACGGATGGTATCAGGTGAAGGTTTTCTTATTCGGCGTTTCGACATTGAGCGAAAGAGGGGAAGGGGAGGGGGGCGTCTGGCTCCGGATCTCTGCTTAGTGCGACTGTTTGGAACAGTGCTCCCATGGGAAATCCTATGGGGAACCGTCCACCTGCTTGTTCACAGGCGCCCGAAACAGCCAAGTTCTGCTCCATCGGGAGGGGGAGGGGGGGGGGACGGGGGCGATGGCCCGCGACGATCGGCAAAACAATGAGTAGGAAAACGATCACCAGATCAACTCCACAGGTCCCCTTGTTGAGCAGCGAAACCTCCAGGCCGTGAGGTGCCACGTCGTATGTCCACCGTGCGGCGTTCCGTGGCGTGCGTGGAAGAGCGGATGCCCGCCACCGTGCTCGGAGGCACTGGGTGAACTGTCGTCGGGCTCTTCGAATGCTGTGCATCGAAGATGCGATATGTTGCGTATACTTTGAAGCCTCAGGCCACCGCTTCAGGGACTGCTTTACAGCTGCTGGGGCCCACCACGTGCCACGCCTTGAGGGATCCCAAACTTCCAACATGGCCTCGGCCAGGATGCGACGGGCAAAATAGGGCACGACAGAGAGCTCCCCGGGGCTTCCAGCCAAGAAGTGGGGGGAGGAGGAGGGGCAGCAGCAGGGCAGGAAGGAGCACCAGGAGGAGGAGGAGGAGCTCGCGCTCCCCACCAACCGATCACCTCGTCGACGCTCCCTGGGCAGCCGCCCCCCTGGAGAGCAGGGGAATAGGGTGGTACACTGTTTGGCCGTCTTCCCACAAGGGACCCCCGCACAAAGGACTTCGCGAGAACTGCGATAGAATTGCAAGAGGCCTTCTCGTCATCGCCGCCGTCTTCTCCCTCCTCTTCCCCTCTCCTCTGGGGGAATCAACCAATATTCATACAGCTACTCCCTGGACCTCTCCCGGGGCGCACGCTGACCAAAAGTCCGAGGCTGACGCGGCAGTCGCGACGATGGCATCCCAGCAGGGCGAAAAAGAGGGAAACGGGCGAGGGGTAGTGGTACGGGCACCTCCCCCGATCCTCCTCTCCTCCCACCTCCCCCCCCGCCCCCCCCGGAGGCGCGCCAGACGGCTTGCTCCGCCGTGCTCGCCCGCGCGCCCTCGCGCGCGGGATCGGAATGAGGCCCGCGGCCAGCAGCACTGGGCAGACGATGCGTGCTGTAAACGCCTACGTGCGGTGCGCCCGCTGTCCAACTCGCTCGTCTTGGCGGCGCCCACAGGTGAGCGACAGCAGGAAACGGCTCTTACGCGAGATGGCACGGCGACCTCTTGCCGTCGCTCGGACGCCCATTTCCCGTGTATTTGTCGGTGTCGTGCGTGCTTGTTTCGCTCGATGATCCAGGATGTTCCTCAAGGGTCCTCACCGAGAAAAAAATACACCCGTCCGAGCGATGCCAAGACCTTACGCGGTGGCTTGCTCGGGCGGCCACCGCGGCCCGCGGCAGTGGAGCCGACGGCGCCGACGCGCCACGCTTCGGGGGCTGCTTGCGCGGTCGAATGTCCGCGCATCCGAGCCCGCTGTTCTGCGTCGCTCGCGCTGGTGGCCCGAGAGGGGTGCGCTTCAGAGAGGGCGGAGGGGCCTCTCAGAGGGCACGAGCCTTCTTAGAAGGCCCTTGGAGGCTTCTAAGCCGTTGTTCTGCGTCGCTCACGTTGTTGGCCCGAGAGGGTGCGCTTCTGAGAGGGCGGAGGGGCCTCTCAGAGGGCACGAGCCTTCTTAGAAGGCCCTTGGAGAGGCTTCTAAGACGGCTTCTTACAAACCATCTGGGCTCCTGACGAGCCCCCTTCTGCCAACTGAGAAGCCATGCCGCCACTTAGAAGCCAACCCCCATCGCGCCATCCACTTGCTGGCGCCGCCAACAATCAGCGGCTCAAAGCGAAGCACAACAAATGTTTGCTGTAAACGCCCGCCGTAGCCCCCATTCGGGGCCACACGGAACTGGCGAGCACTCGGCCCGAAGTTCGGGACTAACTACACGGCTGGCGAAACCATGGGCGTTGCCTCAAATGCACCTGTCTCCCCACCTATGGCGTCGACGGATGACGATGCTGTCGCACGGGCTGCGCTCCTCATTTGGTTCGAGGATGGGGTCCCGAATGGTGGGGTCCCAAGGATGGGAAGGGCGCCCGTCTCAGGGTTACATCCGTGTTCAGATGTGAACTTACTCTTTTAGAGGCAAATGATGGATTAACCCACAAAAGATGGAAACGGGGACCCCATCACTGGACGTGGGCTACCCCAACCGAGAGAACGGGGTTCCAAGGATGAGAATAAATGCATTGTTGAGGCAGCTCGTCCGCACAGTCGGACCTAGGCCAGAAGAGCATCCCTCAGGAGCATGAGACCCCGTCGGCCAGAGAAAACAAGGCATCCAAGGGCCCCCCCCCTGGACACACAAGACCGCCTCAAAACACGAAAAGCACCAGGGCAACCTCCGCAAGCAGACTTCGACCTTAAACCTCGGTCCGACTGTACTCCTTTTCCTCCTCCTCCTGGCCTCCTCCTCCTCCTCCTTTCCTCCTCCTCCTCCTCCTCCTCCTCCTCCTCCTCCTTCTCCTCCTCCTCCTCCTCCCCCTCAGGAACCCATCTTTGTACCACCGAACACTCCGCCCGACCGGCAGGGGGCGCCCCGGCTGCAGGCAGCCCCATCACGGGCACGCCGTCTGCTCGTCCTGCCTGAGCAGGTCCGCGAGCGAGCGCTTCTCCCGGGGGGCTGCCCCGATCGTCGTCTGCGCGGCGTGCGCGGGAAGGGGGAACAGAAGACGACCGGGCACGACGGGACGACAGGTCAAGGACTGCGAGAAGACAGTGGAGCAGAGCGTGGGGTTGTGGACGAAGGAGGCAGGGCGAACAACGAAGCCGATAAAAAAGAGGTCAAGGATGGGGGGCCGAAGTCATCATCAAAGTTGGGCAGCGATTCGCAAAACGACAAGCAGCGATCCACACCGAGCCACAGATCAACATTGGATGTAAAGTACTAGACGATGTACGATGTGTTACTGCACTGGTCAATGAATACTGGCATATCGCGGGAAGTATTACACTCGGTCATAACAGACTGGGTAATCAAATTGGACATGCGACAGTACATCAAAATGATGGTTTTGGCGCTAACCCAAAACTGAAACATTGTATATGCAGTTCAAGTCTGTAAACAAAAACATGATCAACAACCACAACAACGCAACTTTCAGCCAGCGCGTACTCCGAAAGGATCGTAAGGCTGAAATGAAACGGACTGGAGTGGACTGAAGTGGATATCCACCTACCCCACTCTACCCCGCTTATAATGTACAACCTTCTACTCTACTCAACTCTACCCTATTCTGGTCGACTGGACGTTGGTCAATTTACTCTACACGACTCTACTCTGCTCTACGCTACTCATGAACGCTTCCCTACTCTACCCTGGTCGCTTATAATCAACTCTAGTACGCCCGACTGTGCACTACCAACTAACCTACTCTAGCCCACTCAGCTACATTCAACACTTTTCTACTCGACCGCACACCACCCGACCCGACCCCAACCAACCATGCTCTCCTATACTGCCCTATAGTGTTACACACTGTGCATATTATGTTATACTCTTCTCTGCTCTACTCGAATATACTCTATTATAGATTCGGCACTCGTCTACCATCTACGCTACTCTACGCCCGTGCTCTACCCGACCCTCTGCCGGTATCGCTCGCGTCGGCCTACCCCGCCAAGGAAGGCCCCAACACGAGCCCGGATGGCTCAAAGATGCCCCAATATGGTCAAAAAGAGCCCCAAGCGCCCAAAGATCGGTTCAAGACGCGCGAGATGGCCTCCAGACGGCCGGGAACGCCCCAAATATGGCCCGAAAACGGCCCAAAAAGACTCCAAGATGGCCTCCGAAATCTCGAAGAGGCCTCCCCAGAAAGACCCGACATGCAACAAGTAATGGTCCTGCGGGTCTTGAAAGCGGGCGTTTCTCATTCGGCGTTTCACCGTCAAGATCTACACCGGATGGGGGAGGGGGGGGGGCGAGGGCCCGCGCCGATCGGCAAAAGAACGGATAACAAAACGCTCACGAACACATTGGCGTTCTCGCAGTTTTAACCCGACGCTCCAAGACGCGCCAAGAAGCCCCCCAAAGGCCACCCCAAAACTGCCGCCCAAGAGGCCCCCGGGGGGCCCAAGGGGGCCCTCCAAACGGCCACGAGTCCGAAGTCCGAGCCCTCCGCCCCGAGAGGCCCCTCGAGGAGGCCCCAAAACGGGCGCCCCAGAGACCCCCCAGAGGCCCCCGAGAAGCCCCCAAGAGGCCCCCAAGAAGCCCCCCCAAAGTTCCCGGGAGCCCCAAAGCAGCCTCCAGGAGACTTCAAAACTGCCTCCGGTTGAGAGAACCCCGAGATGCCCCCCCACGAGATCCCTGCAGACATCCAATGATCTTCATACCCACGACATAGGCACGGTGGCGGATTGTGCCGAAAGCCACTAGATTAAGTCCCCCCCTCTTTGATCGATATCCTACAAGAAGTGCCGTAGAAGGCGCCCAAGGCCCCAACAGAGCCCCGACAGGGCCCCAGGAGTTGCCCAACGGGTGCCAAGAGGCTCCCAAAACGCCCCCAAGAGGCCCCCAAGCGGCCCCAAGGTGGCCCCAAGAGGCCCCGCATCTCAGATCAGCGCAACTCGCCTGGGCACCGTTTTTGGATCGGCAGGCGGGGTTATCTGTTCGTCCGCGGGCGCGCGAAGACGAGTCGAACGCCGAGCCAGCTAGGGCGGGCCGCGCTCTCTAGCTAGGGAAAAGACAGTGAGGCGAGCGGCATCCGGCGGGCAGAAGGGAAGTACAAAAGTATCGCCCGGCCCGCGATGCCGCCAGAAGAGCGTGCCGATGACGAAGAGCACGAAGACCAGGGGCAGAGCCACCCCTGCCGAACAGGAAGATCTTGAGGAGGCCCGAGAGCACCAGAAGCGAGTGGTAGAAGTCAAAGTGGCGCAGAGAGAGCCGAGACGCAGGCGGAAGAGGTGGTACACCTTGCCGTGCGGGTAGAACGGCAGGTAGAAAGCATACGATGCCGTGCCTAGGAGAAGACCGAACGATATCGATTTAATGCGAAGTGGTCGAGTCGCGACGTTCTGGCTAGGAAATCGAACTATATGCAGCACAACTCGGCCAACGTGCCACGTGAGCCGAGGTTCGATAATCGAAAGGATGGCCCCTTGAGCCCAAAAATCTGCTGACGGAGGAAGAAGGAGGGAGGAAGGATGAAGCAAGGACGACGAGGAGGGTCGCCAGAGACATGGCGATGAAGAACTAGCAAGGAGGTGCAGGGGGGAGGGGCAGGGGCAGGAGGAATCAACTGGTCGACCCAGGGGCCCGATCGATCTGGCTGAACAGATTATTACTACGAAGCAAGCAGAAGACGAGACAACGTATCCCAATATATTCGCGTGGCCGCTCTTGTCGACTGGACAATGAAAAACGTCAGTAGCCGAACAGAGACCGCATCACGCCGATAGGGTCCAAAAGTCGGTTGGGGTCATCGAAGAGGCAACGGCATCTGATATGAATGATCGAGCCTGCAACGGCGACGTTCGGAGACGCCCTGCCGCGGACGGCCGCCAGGAGAGGAGGAGGAGCAGGAGGAAGGGAAGGAGGAGGAGGAGGAGGAGGAGGAGGAGAAGAGGGTAGAGGAGAGGATGGAAGGAGGAGGAGGTTGAGGAGGAGAGGAGAGGAGAAGGAGAGGAGGAGGGGAAGGAGAGGAGGAGGGAGGAGAGGAGGGAGGAGGAGGAGGGGAGAGGAGGAGGAGGGAAGAGGTGAGGAGGGGGAGGAGGACGACGAGAGGCCGGCAACCGCGAGACGAATCAGCACGCGGCTTTGCACGACTGCCCAGAGCAAAAGGGCCGCGGCCTTGGGCTTGTACGGCGCGTCGTGCGCCCGGAAGGAGCCGGAGCCTCCGGGGGCAGGCGGGCGCCGCGGCGAGAAGCCCCGAGGGGGCACATTGCCCCCTTGAGGAGGCCCAGGGACACTCACACACCCCTTCTCCTCCTCCTCCTCCTCCTCCTCCTCCTCCTCCTCCTCCTCCTCCTCCTCTTCCTCCTCCTCCTCCTCCTCCTCCTCCTCCCCCTCCTCCCCCTCCCTCCTCCTCCCCTTCCTCCTCTCCCGAGCACAACCCTCATCCTTCCAGTGCGGGGCGGCTCTCCGCGTCGTGGAGAACAGCTCTGGCCTCGTAGCAGGGCTCCAAGTGAATCCCAGGCTTTCCGATCTGTTTCCACATTCGCTGGAGGTTCGCCTTCCCCCCACTCCCCACATTCTCCCAGATGTTCCTGGGAATCTCAGGAGGCAACTGCTGGGAGGTTCGTCGGAAAGAGTAAGGAGGATTGAGCGCCATGTGGGAGATGTTACGCCGGAGTGGGCCTCGGGCGAAGCAGGAGTCAGCCCGACTAAGCGGGATTAAGCGGGAGCAAGCCGGATCAAGCGGGATCCGAAGGAATTGCCTCCGAAGGAGTTGCTAAAACAGGGCCAGGATCGGGATAAATCGCTCCAGAGTGTTCCGGAGCGCTCTCAGAGCGTTCCGGAACGCTCTGGAGCGGCCGCGGCGCCCAATACATCCTCCAAACCCGCCGATTCTCAGAGATTTCGAGTTATCCCGATCCGATTTTGTTCCGATCTTCGCGTCGTGTGAGTTGCGTCCGAAGGAGTCGACGAGATCATGGCCGTGTGCGTCTGCCCTCCGGACCCCTGGCCTCCCGCCTGGCTGCTGCTCCGGGGCCCAGCCCACCACAATCCTGTGAGCCCCCTCCCTTTTGGACGCCCGAAGTGGGTACGGAAAGAATGGGCACTATGCCCAGCAGCAAATGTTGCCCCAAACCAACAGCGGCCGCTGTTGGACAGGCGGCCCTCTGTCTCGAATGGACACAGGCCGCGGCGGCGTGGACAGCGAGTCCTGTTCAGAATGAACAGGAACTGCTGTTGGGCATCGTACCCATTCTTTCGGTACCCATTTCGGGCGTCCAGATCCCTGGGGAGGCAGCTAGGGCGCCGGAGCCGGACGGGGCCCCGAGAAAATCGGTCAGGGGGGGGGGGAGCCAGGGCAGAGACGCTCGCAGTCGGTCCCCAGACTTCTGCTGCTCCCATCGTACTTGAGGACTACATGTAAGTCGGGCCTGTCCTCCTACAGGGGGATCTTGGAAGAAAAGCAAGTGAAACAATGTCCCCAAATGGTCAAAAGAAATCGAATAATAATCCCTAGACTATTTTTTGGCTATTTTTGAACATTCCTCCTGTAGAGGGACAGGCCCGACTTAGGACTACATCCCAGCAATAATCTCGAGCACCCAGAACAGTGTCGAAGGAGTGTCAAAACAGTGTCGAAGCAGTGTCGGACGAGTGAGAGAGTGTCGAACATCACAACCCCAGACCCCTCCTGGAGCCCCTGATGCAATTTTGTCCCATCCTGGATCCGTCTTTGACGGCTCTCTGGGGCCCAAGTCGGCTCCCCCGAGACTGCACAAGGCAGACACCCCTCCTGCACCCAGCTCGGGGGCGTCCAAGATAGGGGTGTCCGAGAGAGGGGTGTGCAGATCATGGTCCGAGGCATGGGCGCGGACCAGCGGGGGGGGGGGGGTCGGGAAACGCATTGAGATATAAGGAGAGGGGCCATGAAATCTGGGAAGAGATCATGGCCCCCGCCATGACATCCACCACCACCCAAGGCATCACCCCCCTCTCTGCGGCCCCCGACCCGCACCCCGAACCTCGCTCCCCCCCTTCCTGCTGACCGGAGTCCGTGCTGGGCCATCCCCGGCTGACTCCAACCCTCCCCTCTCCCCCGCATTTTCTCCCGATCCTGCCAACTTCTCCCGCTCCTCGAGTAGGGGATCGACTACAGAACTGATTGACCCCAAAATTGGTATGTACGTTGAGTATACCGGAGACGTGGGATGTTCGTAGAGGGTGTACGAACATGTGTGCGTGTGTTGTTCTGTCGATTCGGCGAACAAGTCAATATCTGGGGTAATTCAATGTTGTAGTCGATCCCCATTCGACCTCTCCAGCCGAGACGGCTCTGGCAGCGAGAGCTACTGTGGCGCTCATGAGGCCCCGCGCGCCAGCTGCTGAACTTCGTTAGACCCTGCTGCGAGGAGACCTGTGCTGCTGCTGGCGCATGCAACTGTCCGTGCCGGCTGGCACGTTGGGCGAGGAGTTCGGCCGAGTATCCCATACGGCATCGCTGCCGCCCTCTTCGTGGTGGTCGTCCAACCGCGTGGTCGTCCGAAGAGGGGCTGCTCTGATCAAGCTCTTGTCCCCGGCCACTGCGGCCTCCACCCCCACCGCCACCCCCTGCCTCCGCCTCTGCAGAGAGTGACATGGCCGGTGCCCCAGAGAACAGGTGCGTGCGAAGCAACTCGTGATGTACCAAAGAACTCGCCATCGCTCGGACGTCCATTCCCTGTGCTTGTTTCGGTTTCGTGCGTGGTTTCTGAAATGATCAAGGATGCTCCTCGATGGTCCTCGCCGAAGGAAAAATGCACACGTCCGAGCGATGCCATGACCAAGGAAAGTACTGGTTCCAGGACGGGGTCGAGGGGAGTAACAGATCGTCTGCGGCGGTCGGCGCAAGTGGAAAATCGGCACGTCCGAAAGCATGGCCGCAGGTGCACGCAATGCTGCTTGCTTGCTGCAGATCCAGCTGACGGCGCGCACAAGATGGTAGGGGGAGGAGGGAAGGATTCTTAGAAGGAGGCTGCTTCTTAGAAGGCGCTGGCCTCACACCTGTAGATAGGGCCCGCGCCATCTTAGGAGCAGGAGTGCTTCTGAGAAGCAGCCCCCCTCCCCCGACGGCCGGATCTAGGGCAGAAGCACATCCTTCGAGAACACTATCTGAAACCTTCCGCCGGCCAAAACACAAGGAAAATCCAAGGGTTCCGTCCCCCAAGATGCACAATAATGTCCAACGAACACGAAGAAGATCAGGGCACCCTCCACGAAACGACCTCGATCCTATACCTCGGGCTGACCGTACTCCTCCTCCTCCTTCTCCTCCTCCTCCTCCTCATCATCATCCTCCTCCTCCTCCTCCTGCTCCTGCTCCTGCTCCTCCTCCTCCTTATCCTCTTCCTCCTCCTCCTCCTCCTCCTTCTCCTTCTCCTCCTCCTCCTCGTCCAGCTCCTCCCTCCCTCCTCCTCCTCCTCCTCCTCCTCCTCCTCATCCTCCTCCTCCTGCTCCTAGCCATTTCGGCTCCAGCTGGCGATTGGGGCCTGTCGCCGTTTGGAGATTGAAAGCAGCGCAACTTTCGAAGTGGCATTGCTCTCCCGAGCCAGAGAGATGTCAAGCCATGGCAGCTGGGACTGCGCCGCCTGCGGCGCGAAGGGGTGCTGGGCCAAGCACGAGCGATGGCGGCAGCAACACACGCTGGGACGGCAAACAGAAGAAGAACGACGACCAGCAGCAACCGGCGTCGGACACGGACGCCCGCGAGGAGGCGAACAAGAAGCTGGCGACTCTTCGGAGTCGCGTGCGCGACCTGCGCGCGCATGCCGCCGAAGACGGTATGTCTTTCCTCAGCGAGGCAGCGGACAAAGTGCAGGAGGAGGTCCGCCGCATGGAGGCACAGAAAGAGCAGACCCTCCCGAGATGCTTCACGTAGGCACAGTTGGAGAGAGACCGCCGCAAGGCGGAGCAGGCGAGGGACCGCATGAAGAAGAAGATCGAGTCCATAAACGAGAAGGGCGCCGACATCCAGAAGAAGCTGGCGGAAGAGCAGACCGAGCTGGAGCGCAAGGAGAAGCACATCCAAGAACTGGAGGCGAAGAAAACAAAGCTGGAGCAGGCCGCAGCAGCCCACCACCTGGAGCAGGCGGCGTCGATGCTGCGATCCATGGACTCCGCGGACGTGGAGGCCAAGGCCCATCAGGAGGCGGCCACGGACGCCCTCGCGCTGATCAAGCGGCGCGAGCAGGCGCAGGCTGAGGCCGCGGAGTCCCAGCAGCGCCAGCCCTCCGCCTCTCGCAAGCGCGGCGCTGAAGCCGCCGCCGCCGAGGGAGGCGACGGGAAAACGTGAATGGTCGCCATCCTCGCCAAGGCCACCGCCGAGCAGGTCAAGCAGCTCCTCCTGCCGCACCGCAAGGCCACGGAGGCGGAAAAGCGCGCAGCCGCCATGGCTTCGGTGGTGGCTGACCTGCAGCCTGACAGCAGTCTCTTTGACGTCCAGCAGCTCCCGGGCAGGCAACGCATCCTGACGGCCGATGCAAACACGGCCAGGCCCCTGGAGCGCGTGCTGGGGCTCGCGAGCACCAAGGCCTTGGTGCTGGGCCAAGAGCTGTCCGTGGGCAGGGCCGACTCCAGAAAACGGCGGCGCCAGACGAGCGCCTCACTCGAGGCGTCCCCGCAAACGGGCCACGACGTTCCACTCCAACTTCCGCGCCCCCCTCCCGTGCCCGCCGCCCTCCTCTCTGGGGGGATCCAGCTCCCAAGCCAGGCACCCTCGGGAGCTCCCGGAGCCCTCCCTCCCGCTGGAGGTCATGGGTGCGGCTTCCCCGGGGCCGAAAAGCTTAGCAGCACCAGCTGGAGCATTGCCTTTGAGCACCTGCGAAGAAGCCACGACCGGGGACTGGGAGCTGAATCCAACACGCAGCTCTTGGGGATGCTGGGAAGAAGCCCGACGGGCGACTTGGCCGAGCCCGGCCCCTGGGGGTCGCAAACTGTAGAGAAGGCGGGCTGGCCAGCGAGATGATGCCACGGCCAGGGGCCAGTAGGGCGCAGAGCGCAAAGAGTGCAAAGAATCTGATTCAGTGGCGATGAGCGAACAGCACTCCCTCGTGCGGGCAGAGGGTGCTGACCCACACCTCGCGAATTGAAAGCGCAGCAGAAGAATAGGCGCCAGCTGTCGGACCCCGAGATGGGCCCCCACTCGAGCGGGGACCCCTATCCGACAAGACACACCCGCAGCCCCTCATCCTGCCTCCTCCTCCCCCTCCTCCTCCTCCTCCTTCTCCTCCTCCTCCTTTTCCTACTCCTCCTCCCCCTCCTCCTCGTACTTCTCGTCTTGTCCGCCTTGTCCTCCTCCTCCTCCTCCTCCTCCTCCTCCTCCTCCTTCTCCTCCTCCTCCTCCTCCTCCTCTCCCTCCTCCCTCCTGCATCCTCCCCCCTCCTCCCTCTCAAGCCTCTCCGGCTCGAGCACAGCAGGCCCCGACCTGCGGCGCCTGCGCTCGCGCGCGGAGGGCCGGCGCTGGACCAGATGTTCTGTGCGGCTTGAGGGCCGCCGCGCATGGTGGCGGTCAAGACCGGTCTAGGCTACTTCCTGCTCTTCGGCTTGCTGTGCCAGTGCATGCGCGTCCTGCTTCCTGTGGAGCTGGTCTCGGGTGAGCTCATTGAGAAGCTCAAGTTCTTCGATGGCGACGTCCTCATCATCACCGGATTGCAAGCCGATCGCCTGCTTGCGAGGGCCTACGGCTTTCCTTGTGAATACCCATCTGGGGGTGCGCAAGGTGTGCCGACCGCCTCCGCCGCCGCCACCGCGCCCCCTGGCTGCTGGTACGGTGAACAGCTCGGCTGGCAAGGAGGTGCCGCGTTTCCTACGCCGCCTACGCCCCCTCCGGCTTCTACGACGACGTCTGGGCTTCCCGTGAAGATCAAGCCCAAGTCCCAGCCCGCTCACATGAAGCGGAAGAGGAAGGGCAAGGGCAACGGCAAGGGCAATATGCACAAGCACAAGTTCAAGGATGGCAAGAAGGTGAAGAAGAAGCCCTCTTCCCACCACGCGAAGTCAGCGAAGAAGGTGCAGCTGAAGGAGAAGGTGATGCCTCCGACGCCGCCTCCTCCAGGCATCTTCGAGCTGAAGGACCCATACGCGAAGGTCTTGCACAGGAGCGTGCTCACCATACCTGGGCAAGCCAGCGCGATGACGAGTCCGAGCGTGCCGCCTCTTCCACCCGCTCCGCCAGGACGAATGGTGCGGACTCCACCTCAGCGACAGCGGCGGCCTCCTCCACCACCAAGGCCGCGGTAAAGCAGTTCAAGCAGGAGTTCACGACGGAGGAGCGTCAGGAGAGGAGGCGTTTACGACGTATGAGGAAGAAGGAGAAGAAGCAGGAACGCAAGGAGATGGAGGAGCTGAACGCGTTGGAGCAGCAGCTGAGGGCGCCGGCGCGTGCTGGCGAAGGCAGCCGCTGCGAGTACTACGAGCTGGGTTCAACACTTGAGCAGGATGAAGAGGCAGAAGGTGACCAAGGTGGTGGTGCTGAGGGACCCGATGGCCTCGGAGATTCTGCATTGCCTGGTTTGCGTCTTGGCGGTAAGGCTAGCGGCTGTCGTGCTGCTGATCATGAGCAGCCTCTTCATGAACGTGAAGGTGGGGAGCATGAGCATGCCCTTCGTGAAGGCGGCGGTAACTCCACCGATCGTGCGGATGGCGGAGTTCGTGACCTTTCCCCACGCGATCTTTCGTCAGGAGGCGATCTGTTTCCTCACGGCGGGAGCGATGCAGTACCTGTCGGGGTCAACTTTTTCGGCCTGGAGCCCTCCTTTCTGGCTGAGTCTGTGGAGCTGCTCATGGATGGCAAGATCGACAAGAACGAGCTGTACCAGCGCGTCAGGTCGACCTTGAAGACCATGAGCTCGACGACTTCTTCGGCGTCATCTTCATCATAGGTCTGGCCAGTTTGCGAGAGGTTCTTCTCTGAGGCTATGTCCCAGACCCTCGTCATACCAAGTTCACCCAGTGCTTTTTGGAGGTGGTCTTCAACTACTGGGAGCCTCTTTCGGCTCAACCTCCCTCTTCCCTGCTCGGGCGCCTCCTCGGAAGTCGTGCGTTGCAGCGGTCCACAGCAAAACTCCCCCCTCCTCCCTCCTCCCGCCTCCCGCCTCCCGCCTCCCGCCTCCCGCCTCCCTCCTCCCTCCTCCCTCCTCCTCTCCCTCCTCCCTCCTGCATCCTCCCTCCGTCCCCCCGTTCGGACCTCCACCCCGGGAATTGTGGGGTCGGTCACATAGGCATGGATGCGAATTGTCAACTCACGGAACGGAAGATGAGCGGGGCACAACAGAATAGCGGGTGGACGTACACTCGCCGGCCGGCCAACACCTCTGCCTTCCAAGGCGAGCAGCGGCTCTGGCATGGCGACGACCCTTGCTTTGCTGCCGACGGCGCCCCCCCCAGTGCCTTCGCCGCTGGGCAATGGCAGCTTGTGGCTCTTTGGCGTCCACGTCTTCCGCCTGGACGGCTGGCACTCGACCGAGGACTTCGTGCGATCCTAACGAAACAGCGGCAGCCATCCGTGCGAGTCGATTCTGCCCTCCCTATCTCAGACAATGTCGACGCCCCTTCTGCGCAACACGAGAATCAGATACGATGCGCACGGAAATGCTGAAACTGCTTAAGGAAGACGAACAAGCAAATGTACGGGATGGTGTTGCTGTTCTGAACAACGAGGATATTTTCGACAGGCAGACGGATCTTTAGACCGGAAGAACCACATCCCTGGATAAATCCCAACGAAAAATATGATCACACGCTGCAGACTGTTGTTTGTCCCCCATATATCCCTCCACATCCTCCTCCTCCTCCTCCTCCTCCTCCTCCTCCGCCTCCTCCTCCTACTCCTCCGCCTCCGCCGCCTCCTCCGCCTCCTCCGCCTCCTCCGCCTCCTCCGCCTCCTCCGCCTCCTCCGCCGCCGCCTCCGCCTCCTCCGCCTCCTCCGCCTCCTCCGCCTCCTCCGCCTCCTCCGCCTCCTCCACCTCCTCCGCCTCCTCCGCCTCTCCTCCGCCTCTCCTCCGCCTCTCCTCCCTCCTCTCCTCCGCCTCCTCCGCCTCCTCCGCCTCCTCCGCCTCCTCCCCCCTCCCCCCTCCGTCCTCCCTCCTCCCTCCTCCCTCCTCCCTCCTCCCTCCTCCCTCCTCCCCTCCTCCCTCCTCTCTCCTCCCTGCTCCCTCCTCCCTCCTCCCTCCTCCCTGCTCCCTGCTTCACCTCCCTCCTCCGCCTCGTCCCTCCTCCCGCCTCCCCTCCCTCCTCCTCCTCCTCCTCCTCCTCCCTCCTCCCTCCTCCTCCCCCTCCCTCCTCCCCTCCTCCTCCTCCCTCCTCCCTCCTCCCTCCTCCCGCATCCACCTCCCTCCTCCCTCCTCCCTCCTCCTTCCTCGTCTTCTTATTATGATTATTAATATGTTTATGCTTAGTGTTATGCTTCTGTGTATGTTTCTGTTTATTAGTATTATTCGTACTCGTCGTGTATTGTTTCTTCATAGTCTGATTCGTATTATTAGTATTCCTCCTCCTCCTCCTCCTCCTCCTCCTCCTCCTCCTCCACCTCCACCTCCACCTCCTCCTCCTCCTCCACCTCCTCCACCTCCTCCACCTCCTCCTCCTCCCCATGACCGTCTCTCCTCGTCTCGTTCCGCATCGCCGCCTCCGAAGCCCATCCAACAAGCCGCCGCGAGAGGCGGAGGGGGGAGGAGCGGAGGGGCCAACCGCCACCAATACGCTGGAGCCCGCCTCCCCGCAGTGCCCCTGCCCATCTCCCCCGCCAGCAGCAGAGGCCTCCCAGATGGGGTCGGAGCAGATGGGGTCGGGGGATCGCGCCGCATCGCCGATGCATCGGCAATGCATCGGCGGCGTCTGTGATACGTCGGCAGCGTCGGCGTGCAGAAGATCGAGCTCCGCATCGAGTCGCATCATCGATGCATCGCCAGTGCGGCGCGGTCCTCTGGCTCCATCTGCTCGGGCCCTACTCGGGAGGTCTGGAGGCCAACAGGCACAAGCTGCCCGCCTGTGGCTTCCGGGCGAGAGCGAGTTGCGCTTGGATGCGGCGACCTGGCGGCCACCGCACGGCGCAGGCGCAGACGGCAGACGTACGGCAGACGGAGGAGGAGCAGGAGGATGAGGAGGAGGCGGAGGAGGAGGAGGCGGAGGAGGAGGAGGATGAGGTGGATCGGAAGGAGGGGAGGGTATTTTCAGAAATGAGGGATTGCAGGCATGCCCCGCGAATAAAACCTAAAGAAGTGCGCAGTCGAAACATGCCCACAAGAACGAGGGTCAAGAACAGAAGCCCCTTCGCAAAAGGCACCGGCTGCCCCAAAACGAAGACCATTCCAGTGTGAGAAGCACCGAAACCAACAACCAGAAGGGCTCCCTCCAAAGCTATATAGTGCAATTATCAACCCTCGAACCAGCTGCATACCACCACCACCACCACCACCACCACCAGCCCTAACCCCCCCTGTCCTCCCCTCCAGGTGGTAGTGGCGAAGACTCTCTTCCCTCCGACGAGGGGGATGGGATGGGATAAGCACACTGACGGAGTCATACATGTCACAAACTCCCACTCCTGAACTTCGTAAGACCTGCGACCTAAATGAAAGGAGGAAGGAGGAAAGGGTGGTCCATCGCGTCTCGCGCTAACAAGCGCACGCAAGCCGTGAAGCGACGAGCTGCTGCTCTTCTGACAGCACGACACGGTGGCGAAACACAGGCCTGGATCAATCAAGCACCTCTGGTCACTGCCAAATTCCAGCGCAAGCAACCGCCCGCATGCAAAGAAAGCAACGCTGGACCTGGAAGTGAGCTGCACATCCTGCAGTCAGAACCCAACAAAGCACCCCACCATCATCCTGCCACTGTCTGCGCCAAGTGTGTCATGGTTCGGGTTTCCTGTCCGTCGCCAAATATGGCTGCTGGCCCCATCTGGCCGAGGCTTCCTCAGACCTGAGCGACTGGATGCTTTTCGATGACCGTCCCCGCGGGCGGGATCGGGGCATCATCGGGTGAGACGGGTGAAATCGCCCCTGGCACACTTTGGTGGCGGAGTTTGAATCGCCTCGGCATAGAAGTGGACTCGCCACCCTTCCCACTGGCTCAGCAGTCACCTCAACATGATTCCCCCACTCACCTTGATCTTCGAATTGCATGCTGCTTGCACAAACTACACACACAAACTAAAACAAAGACAAACACAACGTCCGATTCCCACACACCCACACACACAAGTTCACGCACACATACTGTTCGGGCGTTAGCAAATGGGCGACTCGCCACACCGTCAGACACGCGTGCAGGGGCCGCGCGCGCGCCAGTCAGCCAGCAGAAACGCATGACGAAATCTTGAACTTCAATCACCACGGGTGGTTGAACCCGCCAACCACGAGGTAAATAAAACAGACTGGAAATCCCGCTAATCGCATGACGAGCGCCGTGGCACCCATCGCGAGGAACAGCCTCGCCCACTGGACCATCGCACGTATCGTGAATAAGCTCAAGTCAAAACGCACCCTGGGTTGAATGTTAGTTAATCGCGTCACAGGTTCGAGACTATACCGAAGCTGACTCCGCGGAGTTGAAGTCGATGACCAACCTGTGTCCTGCGCCCAGAGCCTCGATCGTGACGGAGTCCTGCTCACCCGTTGAGGCGCAAACGCCACGAACGTACTACGCTGCGCGGTCAAACGTCGCGACAATGATTTCCTCCGTGAGGCCAATGAGAACAAAGCGGCCGAACCCCTCAGACGCCACCCATCATGCGCCGACGAGCAGATGCCAAAGCCGACTTGGTTATACCATTGCGCTCAACGTGGTGCTGACATCAATAACGACATACCGAACGCGCTGTCTCATTGAACTGCGAAAACGACCTGGCCAGATTCGCGAAGTCCTGACCAATGTAAACTGACCGCTATCCACTCCACACCACCTCCTCCTGCTCCTGCTCCTGCTCCTGCTCCTCCAGCTCCTCCTCCTCCTCCTCCTCGTCCTCCTCCTCCTCCTCCTCTTATTCCTCCTCCTCCTCGTTTTCCTTCTCCTCCTGGTCCTCGTACTCCTCCTCCTCCTCCGCCTCCTCCTCCTTTTCTCGAAACGAGCGCACCCTCTTCTGCGTGCTGCCCATGGCCCATAGGGACGAAAACCAAGCGCAACAGAGAGAGAGAGAGAGAAAAAAAAAAAAAAAAAAAAAAAAAAAAACCAAACAAACGGACAACGATGGATGGGGGAAACGGAAACCCACTCCGGGACACGCCAAAGCCTCGGACACGAGGGAATGGAAGGGGATGGGCGAACTTGAGAAAAAGAATGTGAGGGAATTATTTTTTGTTTCAAGTTGCCTCTGGAGGCCCCGAAGCGTACCCAAGCTCGCCCCAAGAGGCCTCCAAGAGTCCCCCAAGAGCTCCGGGGAATCTCGAGAGGACACAATCATTGCCAATTCTAACGAACATTACGACTGATGTGTTCTCGCACTTCCCTTTTTGACACTCATCCGAGGCTTGCACATGCAACCCAAGAGAGCTCCAAGATGCCTTCAAGATGCGTTCCGACCGGCTCCTGAGGGCATCTTGGAGCTCTCCTGGAGGCCTCCTGGGGGCTCTTGAGGGCCTCTTGGGCCTCTCCTCCTCCGTCTCCTCCTCCTCCTCCTCCTCCCCCTCCTCCTCCTCCTCCTCCTCCTCCTCCTCCTCCTCCTCCTCCTTCGGCGCTGGCAGGGCGGCTCTCCCAGGAGCTCGGCGGGGGCCTCGGCGGTGCCTCGGTGGCGCCTCTGCCTGCTCGGAGCATCGTGGGGGCCTCGGTGGTGCCTCTTCGGGCGTCGTGGGGAGCTCCTGCACGAGGATCCCCAGGAGGTCCGAAAAGAACCTCTAAGAGGCCATTCCCTACTTGTCTTCGTTTCTCACTCTCCTTCTTCTTCTCCTCCTCCTCCTTCTCCTCCCTACCGCGTTGTTGCACAGGCACGGTGGCGGAGTTTGCCGCAGACAGCTGGATACTCCCAAACTCCCGTGATCAGGTGCTGGGGCGGGACAGTGCGAGCTTAAGCCCTTCCACGCGTCCGTTTCCTCCCACCCCTTCGCCTCCAGTTCCTCCTCCTGGCCCCTCCTAAGGGCTCCCAACTTCGCGCTTCGCGCTGCGCGAAGCGCGAAGTGCGAATAACTTCGCGCTCTCGCGCCGCCTCCCAGGGGAGAAGAGGAGGATGAGGAATCGGAGCCGGAGCGCGAAGCGCGAAGCGCGAAAAACTTCGCGCCCTCGAGGGCGCCCTTGCCCTCTCCTCCTGTCGCCCCCCTCGCCCCGCTCAACCGCGCCCGAACGATGACAGCCACCACGCGGGCAGCCACAAAAGTTTTCGGGCACGCGGGGGGCCCCCGCCGCCGTTGACGGCCCCCACCCGCGGCCGCACATCTGCCTCGCCTTGCAGGGCTGCGGCTAGAGCGGCTGGAGCGCGCCCTCCACCCCCTCCCCTACCACCCAACCCCCGCAGGCTCCCTGCCAACCACTCCATCCCAGCCCCCCACCCCTCCCTAGCCAACCACCCCACCCCACCCCACCTCCACCTCCTCCTCCTCCTCCTCCTCCTCCTCCTCCTCCTCCTCCTCCTCCTCCTCTCCTCCTCCTCCTCCCCCCCCGTCCTCCTCCTGCTCCTCCTCCTCCTCCACCTCCTCCTCCTCCTCCTCCTCCTCCTCCACCTCCTCCTCCTCCACCTCCTCCTCCTCCTCCTGTCTCGGCCAAGGGCGCGCCTTCTCCTCGAACAGCTTCTTCATCTCGGAGGCGGGCAGGGAGGCGCTGTGGGCCACGCCGTGGACTTCGCCGTCGGGCAGCCTCGAGGCACGCGCGGCTCCCTGGGGACTCCCAGGGGAGGGCGAGGGAGAGGGCACGGCAGACGTTGACGATGGGGCCCCGCAGACGCAAGGAGCACGTAGCGTTACTAGTTTAACGGGCGAGTAACGGTATAAAATATACTTTTTCGCCGTCGAGGACACCTGCCCCAGGGCGGCTGGAAAGTTTACACCCCTACGGTGGCACCGTAGGGGTATAAACTTTCCAGCCGCCCAGGGGCAGGTGTCCCCGACGGCGAAAAAGTTTATTTTACACCGTTCTTCGCTCGCTGACTAGTGGCCTCCTAGAGGAGCTCCGAATACATGGGGTCGGAAAATCTCGCCGCATCGCCGAGAAATCCGCGATGCATCGCCGATGCATCGGCGATGCACTGGCCATGCACCAGCGACGTCGGCGATACATCTGCGACGTCGACGTGAAGCAAATCGGGCTCCGCATCGAGCCGCAGCGCCGATGCATCGGCGATGCGTCGCGATCCTCCGACCCCATCTACTCCGACCCCATGTAGGAGGCCTGGAGTTGCCAATCGCAAGAATGCCTGCACAACAATTGTCCAGAAGCGCTCTCCCTCTCTCCCTCTCTCCCTCTCTCTCTCTCTCTCTCCCTCTCTCTCTATCTATATACATATACATAGATATTTATGAAGGCGACCCAAGCCACCCGCACACCAACCACCTAATGTTGTATGTGTTCAAAGCTTCTCTCTCGAGCCTGTGACCCGGCGACCGTCGTCAGCTGCACGTGCCCCCAGAGAGGCCCCTGGCAACTTGCGGAAGATGCAAAGGCCGAGGGCCAGGGAAAAACATGATCCTAAGACCAAAAACGTGTTCAATAAACAAAACCACAACTCTTTCAATCAAAACTGCCGCGCGCGAAACTGACGGGGACACTGCTCCAATCGAGCCACCGCGCACGTGCAACGGAGCAATTTTATCAACGCAGCAACGCGCTTACAAAACGCTCAAAAATTGTATAATAGAAACGAATGGTTTTATAACAATGTTGACGAACGAACAGCACACACCCATACCCATAGGGGGGTCGTTGGGAGGAGGACTGGCTATGGGTATGGGTGCGGGTTGTCGGACCCTGGGGCGCTCCCGTTCGAGCGGGGACCCCCATCCGACAACACGCACCCATAGCCCTCTCCGACCCCCCTATGGGTATGGGTGCGTGTTGCTGGTTTGTCAAATGCGTGACAGCGAAAACCTCGCGATCCGCAATCGTCGCCGTGGGGGCGCGCCGACCAGGTCCGAAAGCGTTCCGGGAAAAGTGTAAACCTCAGGCCACCGGACCCCCGAAGACGACCCCAGCAAGACCCCCCAAAAATCGAGGACCCCTCGAGAGGACACAACCATTGCAAAAACTAACAAACATTACGACGTATGTGTTCTCGCATGTGATTTTTTGACACTCTTCCGACGCTTGCACATGCAACCCAAGATCGGGGATGGACAGACCCCCTTTTGTAAAACGTGGTTCAGTGAAAACGACCCGAGGCCCAAACCTGGCGGGCGCAAGCCTGGAAAATGACGGCCACGGCGCCCTCTCGAGAACCGAAAACGGACAACTCACTAATCGACGTGTCACTGTTGGGGGTTCTGTCCACCCCCGGCAAAAGGCCTTCCAAACGAACAGAGCCCATGGATTCCCCAAAGAATCTCGCATGCTGTCGGCAGGGTGCGCCGCTCGGCAGCCAGGCAGTGGCGACCCTTCGTGGCACAGCACCGGAGCACCGCACTCGGCACAGCGGGGTGGCGGCCCTCGAGGATCATGCCGGCCCTCCGCTTCCGCGCACGCCCCGCACTGTCGAGGCGCCCGTGCTCGCCCGTGCCCCCACATCGACCCAGGCAGCTTGACTTAGGTCGGGCGTGTCCCCCTACAGGGGGATTTGGGGCGAAAAGCTAAAAATGCCCCAAGAATACTCCAAGATACTGATTAAACAATTGTCCCCAGGCTGCGAGGCGGGGATTTATCCATATCCACCGCCTGGGAACCGACGTCCTGGTGCCCCAGCGGGCGGTGATATGAATACATTTCGGCCCCCGGGGGCCCGAAGATGTCCAGATCCACCGCCTGCCGAGGCTCCGAAATCTGACCCTCCAGGCGGTGGATATGGATAAATTCCCGCCTCGGATAAGCTATGGTTTGAACATTTCTGAATGTTCCTCCTGTAGGGGGACAGGCCCGACCTAAGCCCTGCTCCGAGGGGCCTGCACCTGCCACGCGCCTCGCGCGCGAGAGTGCGCCGCACCCGCCGCGCACGCTGCAGCCTCAGGTCGGGCCTGTCCCCCGACAGGGAGGGCTCTTGGATGAACAGTTCAAGATACCCCCCGAAATGCCCCCAGAATGCTCCACAATAGTCAATCTTGGATGAACAGTTCAAGATACCCCCAGAAATGCCCCCAGAATACTCCACAATAGTCCACCAAAAACCGCGTCCCCAGACTATTGCTGGACTACTTTTGAACATCCCTCCCGTAGAGGGACGGGCCCGACTTAAGCCTGCACCTGCCGCGCACGTCACGCGCGGATGCGCCGCACCGGCCGCAGACGCTGCAGCCGCTGCAGCCGCAGGCCGCCCGGACGGCGTGGCCCGGGGCCCTCGGCGGCCACAGCGCCCGCCGCATGCCGCGTCGGGCTCGAGGCTGCCGCTCGCTGCCGCTGCCGCCGGCGCGACCTCCGCCGCCGCAGGCGAGGCCAGAGCCGCCGGGGCTGCAGTCGGGCTCGATTGGGCAGGACACGCGCTCGCCATCGCTCGGACGTCCATTCCCTTTGTTTTTGTTCGGTTTCGTGTGTGGTTTTTTCATCCAATGATCAAGGATGCTCCTCGATGGTTCTCGCCGAAGGAAAAATGCACACGTCCGAGCGATGCCAGGCGCGAGAGGGCACCAAGACCCTTCCGAGGGCCACGTTGCCACAGGAATGCAGGAGGCACGGGTCGCGAGACACAGGGCACAAGGGTCAGGGTACCCTTGAGTGGGCAGGGTCGACCTACTACTCCTGGCCGACAATAACTCGCCCTCACTCTTGCCCACCCAGTCGCGCCTTGCATTGCGAGCCCCAAAGGCCCACGTGTTCTTGCATGGTTTTGGGGGTGCTCCGTGCTGCGGTCGTCGGGGCGTCCGGAGACGGCCCAGGAGGCCCGAAGATGGCCCCCCAAACTAGCCACAAGGGCTTCCAGGCAGCCTCAGAGAGCCTCAAGACGGCCCAGCAGGGCCTCGAGATGGCCCGAAGAAACCCCAATGACGGCCCAAGGTGGCCCCAAGACGCCCCCCGAGGCATTCCAAGTGGTGAGCCCGCCGCTCAGGAACTCCGCGGTTGGAAGCAGGGTGGCCCGAGGAGGCCCCCAGAAGGCGCCCAGCAGGCCTACAGAAGGCCCCAAGTAGCCCTTAAAAAAACTGTCGTGAGGCCCCCAAGAGGCTCACCAAGGAGGGGCCTCCGCAAAAAGGAGCAGAGGAGAACGTGGATGCATTCGCAGGGCAGAGCGAGAATGAGGAAGACGAAGAGGAAGCATGCAGGAAGGATGATGGAGAACATGACTGTAACGACGACGGCGGGAAAGGCAAGGAGTTATCACAAAACGTTGCGTGGGCAAGGGCAAAGGTGCATGGCGCGAAGAGCCAAATGTAGTCTTGTATGCATGTGTAGATAAGTATATACACAACTGTGTGTGTGTTTGTCCCCCTCTCCATCTGCCCTGCTCCTGCCTCGAAGCTGTGCGAACTTGGTTCTTAAATATGCCCAAACACTGTTTGCCGTTGTTAGCTCGGCGTGCTGGAAATCACTCTAGCGCTTCAGGTCCCCTATCACTACGCTGATGCATTGTGTGCCCCTTTTCGGGCTTCCGTGAGCCCAAGACGGCCCAAGAGGACCGCGAGAGGGCCCCAAAATGGCCAAAGGGGCTTTCATAGAAGAAGAACAAACGCAACCAACATAAACTATTGGCGCTCCGCGCGGATTTCTTGAATCTGCGCTGGAACCCCGTCTCTGGCGCGCGGAGCGCGCCAGGGGCGGCGCCGGAGGCGCCGCTGGGGGGGGGCCAGCGCGAATCCAAGAAATCCGCAAGAGCACCAAAAGGTTATGCTTATGGCGTTGAGTCTTCTCCGATTTCAAAGACGGCCAAAGAATCCGCAAAGACGGCCCCAAGGTGGCCCAAGAGACCCCAAGACGACCTCAAAGATGCTCCCAGGATCCTCAAAGATGACCACAAGAGGCCAAAATCGTGGATGCTCATATGTTTTGTCTCTCTACTGTTTTGCCTTCTCGCTTTTGTTCGGCTTTCCGACGCTCCAAGACCGTCCAAGAGGCTCCCAAACCAGCCTGGAACAGATCCCCATCTATGTGCTGGGCATCGCCTCCTCACGATGCCGATCTTACGGATTCCCTCAGTTTCTGAGGGTGCATCCCTACAGGGCAGTTTTTAATACATGGGATTATTTAACAAAAATGTTGGACTTAAATACATGATTAACGTATGAATAAATATTTGCATGAACGCATCGCTGTTTTTAATACTAAAGCCCTGCATGTTTAATACATGATCCGCACGCGGAGCATGTATGCAAAACGGCACTGTAAGCTTGTCATCGCTTTTTTGGCGTGTCAATCCTTGGGGGCTAGCTGGCGAAAGACGGCCCAGGATTGTCGCGGATGTACCCTTAGGCCGAGGGCCGGGCTCACACACCTCAGCCCCTAGGGGAGCGGGGCCTGGCCGATGCGAGAAACCTGCCGCGCGGCCTAAAGCGGGTGGCGGAGGACAGTAATGATATTGAGGTGCTTAGTGAGGAGCACCGGTCGATGCTCCACCTCTCTATCGCCTTCTCTGTCCACCAAGACGGCCCAGGAGACCCCCCAAGGCAGCCCCGAGGGGTCCCCCGCAGGAGCCCCGAGGGCGCCAGACGGCCCAGGAGAGCCCCCCCAAACACGGCCCGAGGAGCCCCCTGTCAAGAGGCCTCGAGACAGGGCTCGAGTTAAACAATGTTTTCCCTTTTCGTTTTGGTTTCGTCATCCCGAATTCTGTCTTCGTTCCACATTTGCTGCAAAATGGAATCAAAACGAAAACGGTCCACGAAATTGCCAAAGCACCGTTTCGCTCGAGCCGCCTCGAGAAGCTCGCCCGCAGCATGGCCACGCCGGTCCGCCTGGAGGGCCCCGAGCAGCCCGCAGAAGAGGAGGGGAAGCAGAGGAAGGGAGGAGGACGTCGACGAGCGCGGACGAGACAGAGAGGAAGCAGAGGAATGGAGGAGGCAAGCAGAGGAATGGAGGAGGCCAGCAGAGGAATGGTGGAGGAGGAATGGAAGCGGGAGAGAAACCCTAACACGACGCGGAGGAGCTCTCCGGGCCCATACTAAGCTCCTGGACACGCGGGGTCACACGCCAGAACTTTCTGCGCGCTCATCGAGCAGCCACCACCCTGAGTGCTGAGTCGGCACGGCGGCGGGACTTGCGGCAGGCAGCTGGATAGCGAGTCTGGTCGGCCCTGAAACGTATATGACAGATGCGCTGCGCAGAGTTTGCGGGGAATCTCAAGCGGACCGCCTATTCGCCAGAAAAAATGAGCATTCGAAACATCAATGTGTGGATACTGTTACGGTGAGCTGATGAAATTACACTTGCAGCTACTGCAAGCTTCCTCGTGTAGACAAAAAACAGAACTGATAAGTGCCTGGCGTCGTTGCCTCCTGCGCGTGCTGGACCAGTAGCGTCAGCATCTTCGGCGCAATCAAACAAGCTCCTGGTGGCCAAAACGGGACGAACGACGCGCAAATATCATGTGACCAAGCGTTATTGTACTCTTAAGCTGTTCAGTCAGATACGAGCTCGAGGTGGGTTGCTCGTGCAGTCGTACACCCATCACTAAAATAAAACACATGGACATCACTTCGAAAACACCTGTATGCACGCGAGCATGTTCATCTCTCCACTCATCCTCTGGATCCTCCTCCTCCTCCTCCTCCTCTTCCTCCTCTTCCTCCTCCTTCGCGTGATCGTCATCGTCCTGTTCGTCATCGACGTCCGCATCTCCCTGCTTGTCCGACCCGATCTTTCCCTCGTTCTCCACCAACCCAGAATGGTCGCTGCACTCCAGCCCCGTCTTCTTTGCAAACAGCTCCCCCCTGTCGCGCCACCAGACCAATGGGTATCGGGGGCGGCCTAGAGGGGGGCGTCCAGAAAGGAGGGGCGCAAATCATGGCTGGCGACATGTGCGCGGCCCTTAGGGGGCGCCAGGGAAGTAGTGAAATAAGAAGAGGCGGCATGAAATCTGGGAAAAATATCATGGTCCCCGCCAAGATATCCCCCCCCCCCTAGTCATCACCCCCCTCTTTGCCGCACCCGAGGGTAGGGCTGGCCAGGCGTTCCCCGTGAAACCTCCTCATCTAGGGGGACAAAAAGTTACATAAACACAAAAATTCAGAGGTCCGCGCGGATTTCTCGGATCGGCGCTGGACCCCGCTCCCTGGCGCGCGGAGCGCGCCAGGGGCGGCGCCGGAGGCGCCGCCGGGGGGCCCCAGCGCCGATCCGAGAAATCCGCGCGGACCTCCGAGTTTTCATGTTTATGTCACTTGTTGTTCCCCTGGTGAAACTTCCTCGTCGCCTACGCTGTACTGAAGCTTGAAGCTTCCCACCGCTTCACGGGTACAGCCCGGGTGTGGGAGGGGAGAAGGGGGAGGAGGAGGAGGAGGAGAAGGAGGAGGAGGAGGAAGAGGAGGAGGAGGAGGCGGAGGAGGAGGAGGAGGAGGAGGGGGAGGAGGAGGAGGAGGAGGAGCACCACACCGACTAACGAAGTCATCGCATTAGCATGCATCAAAACAAAAACAAACAGGTTAGCCTTCGTCCGAGAAATCCGCCACCTCGCGCTTTCTCCGGTCAAGGACTCGCTGCCCTAACTCCTCAGCTTGGGCGCGAGAGGAGAATCCAAATAGCGCAAGGCCTCGGACGAGGTCGACGCCGACCCGCTCAACAGCTGGGCCGGGTCCAAGAGCTGGCACATCTGCGAGGCCCAGCTTCGATGCCAGGAAGGTGCGCGAGGCGTCGGAGAGCGATGTCGCCGCTCCGACGCGACCGTCCTTGCGGGACGGATGCTTACCACGCAAAATCCAAGCCAATTGCCTCTCGCGGCCATCGGAACGGGACCCCGAGCAATCCGACACGAGAGAGCTCCGTCCCCAGGACCTCCCAGGATGGCCAACAGATCCACAGGTGGTGCAAAACACCAAAGTATCCATAGGAGCTCCGCCTGTGGAGGACACGGGAGCCTCGATGCACGAATGGCCACGAGGAGGAGGAGGAGGAGGAGGAGGAGGAGGAGGAGGAGCAGGAGGCCCTCGCCGCGTTGCCGCGCACACCTCGGCCGAGCAGCGGCCTCTCTCCACGGACGGAGGGCGAGGCTGCCTCAAAATATCGGGGCCCCCGTCTTTTGGCGCCGCGCGCGCCGGCGATTTTGTCAGCACACGTCCAGGAATTGCACGGCGGAGGCGCCGATCCTGCTCGGAACGGGGCTGCTTCCGCTGACTCCCCCGGCGTGCCCCGCCCCGAGCCCAACACTGTGAAGGAAGCAGCTCTTCGGCTGGAGCAGGGGGCAGAACATCCACCCCCAGAATCACCACCACCGACGCGCCAAGCCGTGTACTCAACGCCCCCACTGAAGGAATCGAACAGGGCAGGGCTATGTAGTTAACGCCCAAAAAGCCGTTGAATAAACCCAAAGTGTCCGGTCCGGGTGGTTTTTTCCTCCCTCGAGGGAGGGCGGCCCCCTTGTGCAGCGGGGCGCCCGCCCGAGGTGCCCGCAACGTGCACGGCCCAAACGATGGGGCAGCAGCCACGCGGACGGAAGTCGCGCCCCTTCCGAGCTCGGAGGAGAGGGGGGCCACTTGATGGGCCTGCTTTCCACCACTACCACCATAAGTCGGAGTGGGGAAAGAAGTGGAGGAGGAGGAGGAGGAGGAGGAGGAAGAGGGGAAGGAGGACCCCCCTCGGCCCCCAACTTATGGTCGCGGTGGTAGAGAGCAGGCCCATCACCACCGATTTCCAAGAGGAACTTCCGCCCGAGCCGTGGGCCCGTGAGGCGCCCGTCTGCGGGGGATCGCTCTGCGCAGTGGACGCCACGCTTGCAGGGATTAGAAAGAGGGGACCTGGCACGGGAGGGTATTCTGCAGAATCGATGAATCATCGCGGGTTTACTCTGACCCTCCTCCTCCTTCTCCTCCTCCTCCTCCTCCTCCTCCTCTTCCTCCTCCTCCTCTTCCTCCTCCTCCTCCGCCTCCTCCTTATTTCTCCTCCTCCTCCTCCTCCTCCTCCTCCTCCTCCTCCGTATTTCTCCTCCTCCTCCGCCTCCTCCTGCCCCCGCTCATCGGGACGCCCAACTTCGCAGATCGCGCCTCGCGATGCGCGACGCAAGGCTGTCGACGCGGCCTCGCGCCTCGCGCCGCCCCTCTGTAGGAGAGCAACTCTCCAGCTCAGGCAGCGATACCCGAAACGCAGTTTGACCCCCGCGCCCCTAAGGGTGACACGACATCCTGCCCCTCCAAATTCTCAGCAGTTTGACATTGATGATGACATTCCAATGCTGATCGTTGCGCCAGGGAGGGTGTCGGGGCCCCTGGTAATGGCAACGCTTGGGCGGGGTGGGGCACGTCTGGGCGGTGTTGCGTTGCGATCGCCGCCGTACTCGCGCGAGCACCAGCATGTGGGCGCGTGTGGGCCACATTGCAAGCAGAGCGGCCACTTTACAACCAGATGGGGCACTTTACAACCAGCATGGGTTTTCCCAGAAGGGCATTTTACAACCAGGAAGGCCACTTTACAATCAGGCGAGTAAATGCACATAAGCGACACATGTTCTTCAATTTCCGAAGTCCCCGTGGCTCCACGTAAAGGGGACACTTCGCTCTCTGAAGCGTGTTGTAAAGTGATTCGTCTGAAGCGAAAACCTGTGAAGTGCCGTATTCCTAATGGGATCCCAGAGGAATCCGAATGGAATCCTATCGGCACCCTTCCCTCGGGGATCCTGTTGGCACCAGATGAAACCCATTGGTATCCAACAAGATTCCTCGATATGGCGCCTACGGGTGTCCGACTGGAATCCGCAATTGAAACCCGGTGGGGCCCTTCCTAATGGAAACCGATTGGGGACCTCATTGGATTACAATCGAGAAACCTTCCTATTGGAATGCCGCGGGAAACGCACTGGGGGCTTGCCTCATTTGGAAATGCTACGTCTGCTGGGGGAGGTCATGACCTCTGCCTGAAACTCCTGCATCTTCTGGACGTAGAGATAAGCGTTCGAGCACAGAGGAACACGCGCGCCCCCAGGAGAGCGGAAATGTGGCCAAGAAGTTGGTAAACTTCTGGCAACTACATGCGGATGCCAGTGTTTGCCTCGTAGACACATGTTGCCCTCTTGCCTCATCGCCCTGCAACGACGCAACCGTATGGTGTCGCGTGTGCGGAAGCATGCGCACCCAGTATGTAAGCGGAAATGTGGCCAAGAAAACAATGGTACACTTCGAGCCAATACATGTGGATTGCAAATGATTGTTTGTTGCATCATCGCCATGTTTGTCATCGCGCCGCATCCTCTGGCAATCGCGAAAAACATGTTGCCAGATGATGCGGAAACATGCGTGCCCGGGAGGGCGGAAATGTGGCCAGGAAATCGATGGTAACGGTCTAGCCGATACATGTAGATTTCAAGTGGTGTGCTTGGCCTCACAGGCAACCCTCGTCCTCGCGCCTCACCGTTTGGCAACAGCGAAACCGAATGTGTTCGCATTCGCGGTCGCATGCGTACCCAAGGGGGCAGACCTGTGAAACGAACTCGTTGGTTAAATTCTCGCCAGCGCGTGTGGATTTCAAATTGCAGTTAGGTTGTACCATATACCGTGTGTCCCCGTTACGTTCTTGTCACCGCATTCGGAATTCAAGTTGCATGTTTGCATCGCAAGCACTTGTTCTCGCTTTGCAAAGGCTTCAGGGCGCTCAGGCGCTCAGAAGCCTCTGCAAAGCGACCAGGCGCTCAGAAGCCACTGCAAAGCGCCCAGGCACTCAGAAGCCTTTGCAGAGCGTTCAGGCGCTCCGAATCTTCTGCAGAACGCTCAGGCGCTCCGAAACCTCTGCAAAGCGCTCAGGCGCTCATGGGCCTCTGCAGAGCGCTCAGGCGCTCAGAAGCCCCTCCAGAGCGCTCAGGCGCTCAGAAGCCTCTGCAGAACGCTCAGGTCATGAGCCTCTGCAGAGCGCTCAGGCGCTCATAAGCCTCTGCAGAACGCTCAGGCGCTCAGAAGCCACTGCAAAAGCGCTCAAGCGCCCAGACGTCTCTGCAAAGCGCTCAGGCGTTCAGAAGCCTATGCAAAGCGCTCAGGCGCTCAGATGCCCTTGCAGAGCATTCAGGCGCTCAAAAACCTTCAGAAGGCCCCGCAGAGCGCGCACGCGTTTCTGAAGGCTGGTTGTAAAGTGGCCGTTATGGTTGCAAAGAGCCCCGTCTGGGTTGTAGGGTGGTCGTTTTGGTTGTACAGTGGGCTATTCTGGTTGTAAAGTGGTCGCTCTCCAAGGAACACCAGGGAATTCGATAAGTAGCTGGTCGTAAAACGACCTATCTCGGTTGTAAAATTTCGTCCGAATTGCAAAGAGACCGAATCTCGTCCAGGCCCCCCAACCACGTACGATCGCTACCGTTAGTTTCCTGGGGGAGGGGGCTGGCCTGGGTAACGACCGCCACGCTCCAGAGGATACAGACCAATCTGCCCCGAAGGCGATGAGGTCCTTCTAGAATCTCCCGGCGCAGCCGCCGCCGGCGCACCGTCGGCGCCCTCGGCCGTGCCAGGAGGACTCCTTCGGAGCGGTGCGGAAAGCGCACTTGGAGAAGACAGGCGATGAGAGAGGTGAGAGAACGGAGATGCAGGAGGGATGAGGAAACATCGCGTGGTCGTCGTCGTCCTGTGGAGCGGTGCGGAAAGAGCGCCCGGAGAAGACAGGCGATGACAAAGGCGAGAGAACGGAGATGCAGGAGGGATCGGGGAAACATCGCGTGATCGTCATCGTCCTGTTCGTCGTCGACGTCCTGCATCTTCCTGCCTGTCCAACCCGATCTTTTCCACGTTTTTCACCACTCCAGAGTGGTCGCTGCCCTCCACTCCGTTTTCCTTACAAGCAACTCCTCCCTGTCGCGCCACCAGACCAATGGGCATGGGTAAACCAACAGGTATCCATACCGCTACTCCCCGGATGTTCTCCCGGGGTGTGTTGCGACCAGGACTGCGAGGCGAATGCAGCGGTGGCGACGAGGGCCTCCCAGGAGGCCCCCAAAAAGGGAAAACGAGGCATGCGTAGCGGTATCGGTACCATTTTGTCCTCGGAAGGGCGAGAGAGAGAGAGGAAGGGAACAAGAGGACGACGACGATCACATTAGAGGAGTAAAAACGTGGCTCGAGCAAAATGTACCGGAGCTCCGCGCGGATTTCTTGGAGCCACGCTGGCGCCCTCTTCCTGGCGCACTCCGCGCGCTGGAGAGGGGGGCTGGAGGCGCCGCCAAAAGGGCCCTACGCCGATCGAAGACACGAGTGCGGAGCTCCGGGAAATCATTCGCATACCGTCGTGCCATACCAAACGTGGCGTCCGAACATACCAAGCGTGGGCACTGTACGTTATCATCCACGATCGGCCACCGTCGGTGCTTGCACGCGCGCTTCTGACTTTAGCGCCAACCCTTGCGAACGAATGCTACCGCTCCCCTGCGTGAGGGAACGAACGAGCTGGCGACTTGAGGTGCACTGGCCGAACGCACAACTGCAGCCAACTGGGGTGTGATGGTCTTGGCGACACTTGCCGTGTTAAGGTCGACCACCCACTAAGATGAATCAAGAAACAGCACGAGGCGAGTGAGCATATCGCAAATTGAACATCCAGATTGCTCACCTTGGCACCACAGGAAAAACGAAGTGTGTGTTCATCAATGTGGCAACTTGAGCAGGAAGAAATAATTCACTCACTTGGCGACAAATAACAGACGGCTATCACGCGAGACGTCATAGCTACCCTACGCCGCAGCTTGCAGGGGGCCGCCAGCGCGGCACGCTGCAGTGGAGACGGGGGCGCTCACGCGCCACCTCACGCGGGCAGCTCACGCGCCCATGTCAGCGCCATCGGAACCTTTTGTTCCGTCGCCCACTCGAGCACTCAGGACTCAGGCGGTGATCCCGGGTCGAGGGTTCACAGGGCCACCCCCCAAATGGGCTGGATGAAGATAAGTGGAAGGAGAAGGAGGAGGAGGAGGAGGAGGAGGAGGAAGGGATGTGTACAACCTGCGTATCTGGGTGCGTCCCCTGGCGCCCCCCTGGGCCGCGCACGTGCCTCGGGCCGTGAGGTGCCGCCCCCCCCAGCGAGGCGCGCGAGGCGCGCGAGAGGGCCTGCTGCTCGGGAGCACCCCGGCCCCGTTCCCGCCCAAGCGTGGAGGGATCGGGGGTGGGCATAATCTATGCTTCTGTCGGGCCTGTCCCCCTACAGGGGGGCTTCGGCGAGAAATTTAAAATACCCCGAAGATGCTAAAAAATACTCCAAAAATAGTCTGGGGACTATTGTTTCAGTATTTTTGGACCTCTTTGGGGTATTTTTTGGGATATGTTTGATTTTTCATCGAAACTCCCCCTGTAGGGGGACACGCCCGACATAAAGTTATGCCCACCCCCGATCCCCCGCCCCCATTGCTTTGTTTACCCTCGAGTCTCGCGCAGGGGTGCAGGCGGGGAGCTTCAAATTTGTTCCCCAGCCGAACACAGCAATCGAGGATGTGTCGCCCATGCATGGCCCATAAAGACACCATTGCAGGGACCCTGCGTCCGACCCCCACTTTCACCCTCCAACTCCCGCATGGGGTCGGAGTAGATGGGGTCGGAGGATCGCGCCGCATCGCCGATACATCGGCGGTGCATCGGCGATGCATCGGCGATGCACCAGCGATGCATCGTCGACGTGGGCGATGCATCGGCGGCGGCGACGTGGATCGAATCGGGATCCACATCGAGTCGCATCGGCGATGCATCGGCGATGCGGCGCAATCCTTCGACCCGATATACTCCGACCCCATCCAAGAGGCCTAGAATCGGGGAGACGTAAGACTCGGGTACGGGGGACTAGGGTTAGACTGACGGCGCCACCATAAAAATGACGAGACCCAATCTGAAATTTGACGCGAGCTCCCGCTGCAGACATCCACGAAAACTGGTCCGTCAAAATCCAGGACGCGCTCGTCAAAAAATGTCGGCAAACCCGAGTTCCGGCTTACTCGAGTCTTACGCTTCCCCGATAGAATAACCCCCTTCAGGACAACGCCCTTCAGTGAAAGCTGCCAGGGGCACTCCACGTGCGCACGGTGCTGCCTTCCGAATGCACCCCGGCGGGGTGGCGAATCGACGATCGAAAACAACCGAACGTATCCGGCGACACACACGTCGATTTGCGAAGCTTGGGCGTGGCTTGATGGGGGGGTCATAAACGAGAGGGTCAGAAACGGTCCTCTTTCGTGCCCCTTTCGGGCCCCTCCAGAGCCCCGGGGGGCTCGTTGAGGTACCGTTTGGGTACCTTTTCGGACCACCCTCGCCACCCCCCCATTTACGACCCCCCGATTACGCAACGCCCAAGAGGCCGACCTGGGACTGCGCCGGTGCACTCGAATGCCATGTGTTGAGTGCACCGGTGCAGACTTCCTCAGTCGACTTGTCTGGGTGGGCGTTCTGTCAGTGCCCGAAGGGAACCGAACTGGAAATTACCTGGAAAAGAAAGACACGTTCAGAGCAGCACCAACAAAGAAAGGCGATCTCTTACGTAGGGAACCGATGTCTATACAGCGACGCTTTTTCCGGCCCTGCACTGAAACTCGCACAGGAAAGCGGATCCAGATGTATACAGGATCATGGTGTATAGATGTTTCGTCGTTTCCCCGGGAAAGCGGGAACAAAAGTATACACCAAAACACCCCGACGTCGTCCCCGATCCTCAAAAAGTCATGGGATTGAAAAACAGCCCGCCACTGGTAACGTATATGCTGCCAAATTCCGATCACGGGCCTGTGCTGGGGAGCCGCCCCGCAGATAACCCGTGTCTATTCGAGAAGTCTCAGGCCGTCACCCAGAACGCCTGCGCCAACCCGCGTACGAGCAGAACACGACCAGGAAGTACGATCGGGCTGAGACCCAAGACTGCCCCTGGCCTTCCACTTGCCCGATTTCTTGCAATCACACAACTCGTAGAATTCGAACTGGAGGAGGAGAAGAAGGAGGATGAGCAGGAGGAGGAGGAGGAAGAGGAGGAAGATGAGGGCGACGGCGAGGGTGACGCAGATCCGAGCACCGCCTCGTCGAACTCGAACTGGAGCCTCCAAAATCTCACCCTCTGTTGCCGAACCCCCGAATCGTTACCAAACGCGTCAACGCCTACCTGCAACACCACAGCTTCGATCACCAGCGACACGCTTTGGCCTTGAGCCCAAACCATGCCGGCACGCGTCGGAGCTCCCTAGCTCCCCCGCCTGCCTGCACTCACAGGGTCGTAGCCTTCGGCTTCGACCTTGGCCCGCCCCCCGAACAACTTAGACATCTTGAGGTGCGAGACGTTGGGCATCGGACTCGAATCGCTGGGGCACCGTACGTCGAAGATCTTAGGACCCGGGTCAATTCGGCTACACGTAAGAGTGACCCTGGGTAAGAGTGGCCTTTGGTGCGCGGCTTTTGGGGGGCCGCGGGGAGGCCAAATCCAGGCGCGCTAGCCGCTGCTACCGCTTCGCGTTCGGCCATCTGGGGGCCCATCGGCCCTCCGGCGAAAGGTCACTCTTACGTCTAGTCGATCAATCCAGACCAGGGTCAGTCAGGCCTTGCAGAATCCCGCAAGATCCTGCACCCGGACCCGGGTCAACGCGAAGGATCCTGCAAAATCCTGCGGGATCCTGCACCCAAACCCAGGCCAGTGCGACCCTGGCCCTGCAGGATCCTGCGAGATCGGGCGCTCTGGCTGACCCCCGTTTGCATTGACCCCCGTCTCTGGAGACCCGAGTGCGGAGAATTGTTAAACAAACACTCAAACAAGAAAAAAACGTCCCATGACTATGTTTGAACAGTCCTCCTGTAGGGGGACAGCCACGACTTAGTCGTAGCGTTTGGCCCGCTCCCCGAATGTGTCAGACCCTTTGGTACTCCAGATTTCGTAATAAAAGGGAGGGACCCTCCAAGACAAGCCATTTCAGACCCCCCCCGTGGGAGAACCCTCCAAAACATCGTCCCCAGACCCCCCAGGCCCTCCAAGATAGCCTGGAAGAGACCCCCCCCCCGAAATGAGACCCCCCTCCCTTTATTACGAAATCTGGAGTACGCGAGGCGTTGGGGATCGAACTCGAATCGCTGGGGCTCGCACGGAGAGTGCGGAAGCCCCACCGGCTCCCGCGATGCTATGCGCGGAGAGCGGAGCCGAAAGGGAGTGCTTCGCGGGGGCGCCAGGGCCCCGGTGCCCGGGCGAGCTGGGGCCGCGGCCCCCCCCCCCCGA